AGCCCCAGTCGGTCTCTGCATACGCAAACCGCAACCCTCAGCCTCTCGTTTCCTACATTCGCTTCGTTGCTGCATTGTGTGCTGGCGTTGGTCATATAACAGCGGGTGCCTGAGTTTCTGGATTAACGTGTTCTTCTTGTTCCTCTTTCGTGTTTCCGAGACGCCGAAGGAACCCCTGGACTTACACAAGGCTTGCGCGAGGCTTGTTCCGGAGACGACGAGTCGTCGCACGCCCCCCAGCTTAAGCAAGGCCAAACCCTTCGTCTACCCCACAACTTCATTGTTCGACAGAGTTGACCTCACCTGTATTGCGCCCTTCGACACGACGTACACCTGCTACTGTTGCGCGTCACGTTGTGCACCTTTGCGCCTTCCTAATACCACCACAAGTGCCTGCCCATCATGGCGGCCAACGATTACTACGGCAACACCCAAGGGCAGTCGCATGACAGGAACGATGGGCCTCTGCCACCCATACCCAGCAATCACACCCAGCATTCCATCTCGCCCGTCAGCACGCCCTTTGGCGACCGGCCCTACCCAACCCAAACCGCAAGCAGCGGAGCCCTCGGCGGCTACCCCATCGATACATCGTATTCCAATACCTCGTACCAACCTCCCACACAATATAGCTCGACGGCACACATCAACGACCCGTACGCGCGGCAGCCAGACCCGTTTGCCGACCAGAACGCAATACCGCTTCAGAACCAACCGAAGATGGATGGCAGCAGTTCGACGCGATATAACGGTGACCCAGAGTACTATGGCATGGGCGTAGAACCGAGGCGGAGAAAGAGTAAAAAGAAGAAAGGCATGTTTAGTGGAAGGGTGACGTGGGTTGTGTATATCCTTACGGCGGTGCAAGTTGGTGTATTCGTGGGAGAACTGATCAAGAATGGTACGTCTGGCATCTGTCAGAGTATAGAAACAGACTAACAACCTCCAGGCATGTTAACAGGCAGCCCCATCCAAACGAAACCCAACTTCAACATCATGATCGGCCCCTCGCCCTACGTCCTCATCAACATGGGCGCGCGCTTCACACCCTGCATGCACAACATCAAGCGCGTCATCGAAGCGCAGCCAGGCCCCGTCGTAGACTGGCCCTGCCCCAACACGACGACCCTCACAGACAACAAATGCACCCTCGCCGAACTCTGCGGCATGGGCAGCGGCGTCCCCGACCAAACCTCCGTCACAAACTTCAAAGACCGCAGCCACGAACCCAACCAATGGTGGCGCTTCATCACGCCCATCTTCCTACACGCAGGACTCATTCACATCGGCTTCAATATGCTCCTCCAATGGACACTAGGCCGGGACATGGAAAAGGAAATCGGTCCCCTCCGCTTCGCACTCGTATACTTCTCCGCTGGTATCTTCGGTTTCGTGCTCGGCGGCAACTACGCCCCCGACGGCATTACCTCCGTCGGCGCATCTGGATCCCTCTTCGGCGTCCTCGCACTCACCATGCTGGATTTACTGTACAATTGGTCTACACGCCGCAGCCCCGTCAAAGACCTCCTCTTCCTCCTCCTCGACATGGCCATCGCTTTCGTCATCGGTCTACTCCCCGGCCTGGACAATTTCTCCCACATTGGCGGGTTCCTCATGGGCATTGTACTGGGTATCTGCATCATCCACTCTCCCGAATCGCTGCGCGCACGCACGGGCCAGAGTGAACCCCCGTATGCGACGGTGGATACGGCTCCTCTAGCCCATTCTGCATCGCTCGGTGCAGACGGAGATGAGGGCAGTAAACCAAAGACTAGCAATAGCAAGATCACGGCGTTTGCGAAACAGCCCGTTGGCTTCTTCAAGGGGAGGAAGCCGCTCTGGTGGGCGTGGTGGCTTGTCCGTGCGGGCGGGCTGGTAGCGGTATTCATCGGATTTATTCTACTGTTGAGAAACTTTTACGAGTGGCGGAATACGTGTAGTTGGTGTAAGCATTTGAGCTGTTTGGTAAGTTCTATCCCCATTCTATCCATGTCCCATCTTGGATCGTATCTGGCAGAAAGTATGATTTGCTAACGACAATCTGAACAGCCCATTACCACAAACGGAGTCTCATGGTGCGACATGGGAAGCCTCAATCTTACCACGACGGACGCGCCGAGTAAGAGGAGTCTGAATCCAAGTCATTTGCCCAATATGATGGCGGAGATGGCGGTGGGACGCATCATGTAGATGCGGAAGTGGGGAGCTGAGATAAAAGATGAGATGTGTGTGAATTGTGTTGTTTACACATCAACGGCCTCTTGCGTCCAGGGATAGCGGGAGATTAGATACAAAGTATTCAACTTTCACGTAAACCAAAGAGAAATACTGAACAGGGCTGCAGCCTACATTAACGTGAAAGCATACAAGTTAGATGACCTGGCGTCGATGTAGGCTCCAGACCTGTTCAGGTTCTTTATTGTAAGAGGTGCTTTGGAGAAGTGCATTTTTCCACTGCTAAGTTGGTAACCTTTTTTTCCCTACATACCATCATGATTGATCGACCCGGGAGAGCACAGAAAAGCACTCCGATCAGGAGAAATGAAATCTAGTGCCACCGTGATATTGCCATGTGCAATCCACCAGATACCGACTAGTCCCTGAGTTAATCAATCTCGTCTCAGGGTTTTCGTCACCAAAGTCACACACATAAACTCCATCTCATCCCTACCGCACCACCATCACCTCACTTCACCACCGCGATCCCCCGCCCATGCCCCCAATCGTCACACCCTGCCTAACCGGATTCTTCCAATCCGGGGGCGTCGTAACCTCATACTGGAGATAGCTCGCAACCGGCGGCTTGTACAGCTCCATATGGCCCGTCTCCGAGTTCTGTATCATAACAGAACGCGTATTAAGGTGATCAGGCCGAATCTTCTCCTTGACACCCAAGAAGCCGCCAGACATGCGGTCGAGGAAGTTGTTGAAGTTGTCCGTCTGGTTGATGTTGCAACGGGCTCCTCGCGACTCGCAGTGCGCCATTAGCGCGGTGGCGGACTTGAAGTATTTGAGGCACTTTGGGCATTTCATGCGGGTTATGCGATGGTCACCGAGGATGTGCGTGTTTAGGTCGCTGGATATGGGGAAAGACTGTCTGGGGAAGGGTTAGCGAGGGAAGAGGGCTAAGGATAGCATGATGGACTTACTCGCAGATGAAGGGACAGTAGTACTTGTTGACGATGGGGTCCCAGAAGCGTTCGGGATTCCAGTCGTCGCTCATGGGATCCCAGAACCGAAAGCTGAAGATGTTGCGACCGTGTTCCTTTTCCATGATCTCGTCGTGGGCGGAGATGGAGAAGTCGCTGGGAGGGGCCTTGGGCTTGGCGTTGGGAAATAGTACTGAGCTCGTTGTCTTGCCCTTGCGAGAGCCCCAGACCTTGGTCTGGCGACTGGAGGACTGGGTGTTTGAGCTCTGAGCCGCGGACTCGCCATGTGCAGAAGAGCAACTTTGGCCTTGATGAGAGTGTCCGGGATGAGAACTGGACCTTGGTGGGAAGCCACTTATGACAGGGGATTCAACGGCTGTCGAAGCATCAGAGTCGTCATCAGCAGCTCCGTTGAGAGAGATGCTGCCCATCATCGGTGCGATTGCTGCATCTACGTCCGGAATGGATTTGGCTTGAGAGGGAAGAGGAGGATACCGGCCGTAGAAGACTGGAACATCCTCGTGTTCGGGTTTATCCGGCTTGATCGCCTCGTACTTGACTTCTCCAATCTCATACTCGTCGCCGAAATGATCATCAGTGAGGTCGACTCCAGTTGGATCATCATGGTCGATGGCTGCCTCGTACTTGGATGTCTTCTGCAGAAAGCGAACGTACTGCTCGCCGCCGTCCAGCAAATCCGCAATCAGATGTTTGTGGACGATATGGCCTTGGAACTGCTGTGCTGGAATGACGTCGCAGTGGCCGAACTCAAGATGCTCGATGAAGAGGCATGCGCGGTAGAACGACTTCTGGCAGCCGATGCAGGTGAGCTTCTGGTCGACTTTGTGGTTGAGCTCGATGTGGCGCTTCAGGCCTGACTTGCTCTTGAACTCATCACCACAGACACGGCATGCCAGGTTGTGCTCTTCTGGACGCGTGATCTTGTGCATGGCGTAGTCCTCGAAGGTATCGAAGTCTTCGTCACACTTGTGACAGTACTCGTGTTCATCAGTGTTCTTCTTATGATTCTTCATGATCTTCTCCGTCTCGAAAGACATGTTGCAGTCTTTGTAAGTACACTTGACGCGTCGGATTGGCTCAAGTGTTGCTGGCATCTTGGCTTCGTGGTTATGATCGACTCTCGTGAGTTCGTGGGGGTGGTTCTTGGAGGTACGAGCTTAACTCGTTTCTACTATGTGCGGAGTTAGTCTCAAGGCAATCAAAGACCGCGGCATTAGAGCTGCGCTCACCTGCGTGCGAACAATGTGGGTTGTCGCCTTGGTCACGCTGGTTTGATGGGCAGCCCTGGGTGTATAGTAGTACCAGTAAGGGTGACGTATGTGCGCAGCCGTCAAAGCCTCTCTCCTGTCAGGACGAGCAGCGTGCCGCGAGATACCAGTAGGGAATTGGGTGTTGACTAAGCGTTTTTCCCAGGAGTGAGAGCCGTTTGTCTTGATCGACTGTGTGCTGAAGGAAGAAATTGGTCGTGGCCGAGCGGATGCAGAAAAGATGGTGGTGTTGGCAGGATGGATTCCTCTAGCTCGAGGTGTTTATGTAGCCAGGGGAAAGCTAGCGGAGTGAGGATGAGTTAGGCAGGCATGGCAGGTGAGGGAGATTATGGGCAAGAGCGGTGGGTTTGCGCTCTCACCCAGGAAGCTGCACCATAGATCAACAACAACCCCACAATGGACAACAAGCATGGATCCCACGGCAAGAATCGCAGCACTCCAAACACGATACGACACTCAAATAGAACAAGAAGCAATGACTATAGGTATTGACACGAAGAATCACAATTACAAGAGACTATACTTGGCATGGATCACATCTTTGGTTGCTACTACGATGCGACTAGAATCGCGAGTATGGGAGCCTAGAAGTCTGTCAGTAGCCGTTAAGGATACATGGACTATCACATACCATTTGCCCCTCAGCGTAATCTTGGCCCATTCGCCTTTGTCATCCGTCTCCTTCTCTACTTTGGTGCTGAAGGAAATGGCACTCATGATGCCGTCACCAAACTTCTCGTGCATGACCGCCTTGTAAGCCTGTCCGTAGTTCTGTACAATCTCGTATAGGCGGTAGATGGTCGGGTCCTTTGGTGGCATGTCGAGCGTGCTGCCTCGGTTAGGGAAGCCTCCAAGCGATTCGATCAGCCCAGCGTCAATCTCTAGAATTTCAGACAGCTTCTTGATGTCCTCGGCGGATGCCATGGCTTGACCGTAAAAGAGAGCGGCGATTGCTACTTCATCGCGCCCGACGTGCTTTGCGATGGCTTCGAAAGATAGGTTCTTCTTCTTCTTTGCTTCGAAGAGGGTCGGGGAGGAGGGAGGCAAACGAGGGATGAGTTCTTCCTATGCGACTGTTAGCGTCGCCCGACAAACATTCGTTCTCTCCTTACGTTCAAAGTAGCAATTGGGTGTTGCGCCATGGCGATAGGCGTGGAGTGGAAGCAGCGGGTAGCTGTGAGAGGGACAGCAGGTCGTATAGATCCAAATGTGCGAGAGGCCAACCTGGCAGAAAGCGCAAGACGAGATGAGAAAGCCATTGCGAAAGATATAGCAAATTGAGGAGACGGCTATGTCAACGATGTTGTGTAACGACGTGGGCAGATAAGAGGAGGAGCTCTCCAGCTACCGAACCGCTCTCAAGCAGCCGATGATACAAGGGTACGTCATCCATGTGCATCTGCCGCATCTCCATGCGGCCCACAAGTTGTGTGGACTCTTGAGCGGGCGCTTTGTACCATCTAGGAAAGCTCTATTACAGTTCTCTTTGGTGTTTGCAATGCGATATTGTGGTTGAACTGCTCCCACCACATGTCGCGCAGCATGGCGAAGCTGTCAAGAGGGGGAAGCTCCGTACATAGTGGGGTACTCCAGGGCTATGAGGGGCTACATGCTGCATCCTAGCGCCGGTACGCGCCTGGCCAGCAGAGACGGAAATCAGGGTGCGCGCACTCCATTGGTGTCTGTTTCACATGCTCAGCTCGCACGCTCGGGCTTCCCTGCATTGGATGTGCGTGGTCCGTCGCGCTGAGATGATGACGCGGGGTCAATTCGGCCTCAAGCTCCAACTCTGAAGCTCCAGCACACCCCGTCCACTTTACATCCTTCGCGCTGAGTGGCAAACCACCAGAAGCCTCAATCCGGCACAATGTCTCGCCGAGACGATGATCTGGCATATGGCGACTACCATGGGCAGGAGGGCGACGAGGGAGATCGCGGCCTTATAGGCGACATGGGTCGGCGTTTTGGCTTTGGCAGAAAAGAGGTCAGTACATTCCTCTGAAACGCCATGCTGTCATTGTACGCTCCCTGTGTATCGCGTCGTTGAGGAAGTGGAATTGCCCCACTACCCGACAGTCATAGCGTCGGGCTGCCTCGTCATTCACTGTCTTCGCGTATCTTGCGTTCCTATTCTACACCGCCTAGCTTGCTGCAGGGACAGGACGCGTATCTAGAAGCTTGTCTTGGATCTACAAATTCCTAACCTTAGCACCGCAGAACAACCAGCCCGCTTCTTCATCCTCAAACCAGGGCAGCGGCGGTATGTCGTTCTTCAAGAAGATCCACGACCCTCTCCACGGCTTCGTTTCCGACCTCAAGGATGCCATATCCGGCGATGATAACGCGCAGAAGCCCCCGCCGGGTACATATCAACAGCAAGGCCAGCAGGGTGGACAGCCACAGCCTGGGCAAGAGTACCATCAACAACATCGCTTCTTGAGCTTCGCGCCTGAACGACATGGCAACGAGACCAAGTGGTATGTTGACGGATGCAGGTGAGTTTTCCATTTCCACATATCATACACGAATACAATTGACATGTGTAGCTATATGTACGCCGTCTCCATAGCTTTGGAGCGCGCTAAAGAGTCCATCTGGATCCTCGACTGGTGGCTCTCTCCCGAGCTGTATCTTCGCCGACCGCCCGCCAAGAACCAGCAGTACCGGGTCGACCGACTGCTGCATGCGGCAGCAGAACGTGGCGTCAAGGTCAACATCATTGTGTACAAGGAGGTTACACAAGCCCTGACTCGTAAGTTTTTGAATCCAACGTTACCAGACTATCTTCATTCTCTTTTACCGAGTTCGACGGATAGGTTTACCAAAGGCCTTACGCGGGTCGGCCTAGATGTTATATTCAAAAGTCTTGAAGAGTGGGAAAAGACAGATCCGCTGATTGCCCCTCCTATTACAGTCTCCTCGTCGCATACCAAACACCACTTGGAGGACCTCCACCCCAACATTGGTGTCTTCCGACACCCCGACCATTTGCCAGATGCGGCGGTACTGCAGTCATCCTTCTTTGCGTCGATGAAGAACATGTCCTTCACACCTGCAAAACTTGCCCAGCTTCCTGGAGACGGTTTAAAGGCGATCTATGGTGCTCACGAGGGTACTGTCATGTACTGGGCTCATCACGAGAAGCTTTGCCTGATTGACGGTCACATCGCATTCATGGGAGGATTGGATCTTTGCTACGGTCGTTGGGACACTAACCAGCACGCAATTGCTGACGCGCATCCCGGCAACATCGACCGAATTGTGTTCCCAGGTCAAGACTTCAACAACGCTCGTATGCTAGGTAAGTCATCGTCGTACTCTAGGGCTGTCAGACGGCAGATAGGCGGTCTCTTCCTACACGAGGCGGTGATGTTTGCTGACACTGAGTAGACTTCCAGGACGTGACCCACTGGGAGAACAACAAACTCGACAGGACCCAAAGCTCTCGCATGGGATGGTCTGATGTAGCGCTGTGTCTCTCCGGTCCTGTAGTACAGGATCTTCGTACTCACTTTGCCCAACGTTGGAACTTCATCTATGACGAGAAGTATTCTCACAAATCTTCCAGATACACCAGGTTACCGGACACCGGCAGCGGAGCTCAACAGGCACCTTCCATACAACAGCGAGGATTGGAAGGCGAAGAAGAGGGCGAACGCGGATTTGGTCGCGAAGAGGAGGGCGAGCGAGGACTGTTCGGACACGGTGCTGGGGGGCATCTTCGCCAAAAGATGCAGAGCAAATTCGAACAGTATGGCGGCCAAGAGCACGGACAGTACGGTCAGCAACAATCGCATGCAGAACACAGCTCTCAGAGGGGCGGCGTGGATTGTCAGATTGCACGCAGTTCTGCCAAATGGAGCCACAACCTGGTCACTACTGAGGTCAGTAGTACTTCTGATTGTGCGAACACGAACTGACAACTTCTTTAGCACTCCATCCAAAATGCTTACTGTGAGATTATCAAAAACAGCAAGCACTTCATCTACATTGAGAACCAGTTCTTCATCACCGCCACTGGAGATCAGCAGAAGCCGATCAAGAACAAGATCGGTGCAGCCATGGTTGAGCGCATCGTTCGTGCTGCACGAAACGGTGAGAAGTACAAGATGATCGTTATGATTCCTGCAGTGCCTGCCTTTGCTGGAGACTTGAAGCTAGACGAGGCATTGGGCACTCGAGCCATCATGGAGTGTAAGTTTGATTCGTCTCTTCCGCATTTGCTATGCTGACGATGATGTCACACAGTCCAGTACGACTCCATCAACCGTGGCGGTCACTCCATCTATGAAGAGATCGCTAGGGCTGGATTCAACCCAATGGATTACATCCGATTCTACAACCTCCGTAGTTACGATCGCATCAACTCCAGCGCGGTCATGAAGGAGGCGGAGCAACGTAGTGGTGTCTCTTACAACCAGGCTCAAGAAGGTTACGATGCAGCGCATGACAACGCGCGTGGCTACGAAGCCTACCGCCCACCACCCACCCAGGAGTATGGGGTCTATGAGATGGATGGCTCCGGTCGTCCTCCCTCTGGACACCAGCAGTATGACGGTGGCCCCCAGAGTCAGGGCAGACCCGGTGACTACGACCGCTACCAGCAGGAAGCTGTCAAGATCGGTGGCCGACAAGGTCTTGGTGATGGGCGCTGGGACACGGTCAGCGAGTGCTACATGCTTGGTGGAGAGGACATCCGCCGTGTACCTTGGGAGGGCTCTGCTGAAAATGAGATGGACGCCTTCGTATCTGAGGAGCTATACATCCACAGCAAGCTTCTCATCGCCGACGACCAGATCGTCATCTGCGGTTCTGCCAACCTCAACGACCGCTCCCAGCTCGGCGACCACGACTCCGAAATTGCAATCATCATCCAAGACCCCAAGACCGTCGATTCATACATGGATGGCCGACCCTACCGCGCGTCCGAGTTCGCAGCCAGTCTCCGCAGAGAGCTTTTCAGGAAGCACCTCGGTCTCCTCAAGCCCCAAGACATGGAACGCCCAGACGCCAACTACCAGCCCATTGGCGTCCCCAACCAATACGACTGGGGTTCCCCCGAAGACCTCCAAGTCGCCGACCCCCTCTCCGACGACTTCCAGGCCCTCTGGAACTGGCGCGCCCACACCAACACGCAAGCCTTCGGCAAAATCTTCCACCCGGTCCCCAGCGACGAAGTCAAGAACTGGAAGCAATACGACGAGTACTACTCGCGCTTCTTCGGCCAGGACCAAAAGGCCAAGGAGAACAAGAAGCCGAGTTTGTACAAGTGGGGTCACGTTGTTGCGGAGAACTTTCCTCAGGGCGAGCAGGGTGTCCGGGAGGTTAAGGAGGTGCTGAGTACGATCAAGGGGAATCTGGTGGAGATGCCGTTGCTTTTCTTGAAGGAAGAGGATATTGCGCAGGAGGGTATGGGGTTGAATGCGCTTACTGAGGAGCTTTACACTTAGGTTCGTGGAGAGTAACGGTCTACCTAGGTCTGCTTTGATGATCAATTACGATGAAATTACGTCTTTGTATCAGCTGCAGGCCGCATAAAAGCCGTTCCACACAGTTATACTCCGCGTGTTCATCCTCCCCGTTGCATTTGCAAACTGCTGAAGGTTCCCATCTTCTCTGATCTTACTTGGACAGTGTCACATGCGAAAGCGCCAGCGACTCTTTCATAGGAGACCGATGTAATACAACGCAATATATATCCGCATAGGCTGCCGTGCTGTCTTTGTTGGATGCTACGTCATGTGAGGACCAATTGGTCAACGCCGCATACGTCGCTTATTACGCGGATAAGATGCTGCCTACAGCTCTCACCACCACATAATTCCATTGTCAACACAAACTTTTGTTGAGATTTATCTGAAGCTCTTCTTCTTACCCAAACTGATTACTGACGCACATTCGGAGAAGCAGTAGGCGCAGCATCCTTCCGGCACTGAGAACGAAACGATCATGTCCTCGCCAAGTGCACAACTACCGCTTCCCCAAGGCGGATCACCTCAGAGTGAAGAACCAAGCCAAGCTCACCCACATCTAGAAAATGTGACTCAAGACGGAAACCCCAATAGCAGTAATAGTGTTACTCAACCTGCGCAAGCTCAGACTGGCAGACAACAGCTCAACGCCATGTTCAAATCAGCGAAAC